TACTACTACTACTACTACTACTACTACTACGACTACTGCTATTACGACTGCTACGACTATTACTACTACTACTACTACTACTACTACTACTACTACTACTACTACACATCTACTACTACTACGACTACTATTACTACTACTACTACTACTACTACTACTACTACTATTATTATTAATATTGATAATATCACGAATTCTACGACGACTACTACTACTAGTGCTACGACGAGTACGACTACTACTACTACTACTACTACTTCTTCTTCTACTACTACGACTACGACTACGACTACTACTACTACCACTACTACCACTACTACTACTACTACTGCTACTTCGACTACTACTACGACTACGACTACTACTACGACACCGGCTACGACTACTTCTACTACTTCTACTACGACTACTGCTACTACGACTGCTACTACTACCATTATTACGATTAAGACTACTACAACTACGACTACGACTACAACTACTTCTACTACCACTTACCACTACCACCACTACTATCACTACTACTACTACTACTACTACTACTACTACTACTACTACTACTACTACTAACTACTACTACTACTACTACTACTACTACTACTACCTACTACTACTACTACTACTACTACTACTGCTACTACAATACTGCTACTACTACTAACTACTACTACTAACTACTACTACTATACTACTACTACTACTACTACTACTACTACTACTACTACTACTACTACTACTACTACTACTACTACTACTACTACTACTACTACGACTACTACGACGACTACCACTACTACTACTACTACTACTACTACTACTACTACTACTACTACTACTACTACTACTATACTACTTATACGACTACTACTACTACTACTAACTACTAACTACTACGACTACTAACTACTAACTACTACAACTACTACTACTACTACTACTACTACTACTACTACTACGACTACTACTACTACAACTACTACTACTACTACTACTACTACTACTACTACTACTACTACTACTACTACTACTACTACTACTACTAAACTACTACTACTACTACTACTACTACTACTACTACTACTACTACTACTACTACTACTACTACTACTACTACTACTACTACTACACTACTACTACTACTACTACTACTACTACTACTACTACTACTACTACTACTACTACTACTACTACTACTACTACTACTACGACTACGACTACGACTACTACTACTACTACTACGACTACTACTACTACTACTACTACTACGACTACTACTACTACTACTACTACGACTACTACTACTACTACTACTACTACTACTACTACTAGGAGGATCCATCTTGCATATTTTAGAATCGATGCAATTCGGTGCGTTTTTGCTTACGCTTCGGTGCCCTCTTGCTCATCTTAACGTAGTGCTCGTGCGCAGACCAAAAACTGAGACCAATTCCAACTCGAGCACGCATGTTGGCTTCCAGATCCTCTGCGTTGACATAAGGGGTGCCGCTTGGTCTTCGCACTCGTCTTGGGCTTCTGTACACTTAAAATCCTATTGTGGGGCTATCCCAAGATGGTTGGGATTGGGCCCAGTTTGCTTTTCGCACTGGTTGGGATTGGTCCCAGTTGGTTGGGATTGGGCCCAGTGGGTTGGGATTGGGCCCACATGCCCCCTCCCCCTCCCCCCCTCCTCATCTTCCCCTCGCAGCTTCTCCATGTGCACCTCCCCTTCACCCTGGCCGGGGCAAGCAAGTCGATTTTCCTCGGCGCCGTCGCCGCCTCGGCCAGCACGCGCGCGTTCGCCGACGGCTAGATCGCGAAGCCTTTGGGGCGACCCCGCGGGCCACGCCTTTGGGGCAGTCCCGAGGGCCGCTGGGGCGCGAGGGCAGGCCGTCGGGGCAACCCCGCGGGCCAGACCGCCGGGGCAACCCCGCGGGCCTCAAGCTGCGCGCCGCGGCGATCAGGCGGGACGCAGCGCGAAGCCAAGCTCCGCGGCGAGCTGCTCGGACTCATCCCTGGAGGTCTTCGTTTTCTCATCGAACTCCTCGAGCGCCTTCCGCAAGGACGCTGGCGGCCCTCGCTCCAGGAGGTCGCGCGGGGGCGGCCGCGGGATCATCATCACGTAAAGGTGCAGCCACCACTGGTCGTCCGACGTGCCCGCGCGGCCAGCGCCCTCGCACCTCGCGCAGTCGACGGTGGCGCCCTTGCGCAGCGTCTGGCCCTGCGCCGGCGTGGAAGTGAGGCAGGGCGCGCGAGTCGGAGTGAACCCCGATAGGCGCACGGCGCGCGGCCCCGAGCTCTGCCGCGTGAGCTCCTCCTCGCGGGGCCTGGACATCAGCAAGCTCCGAGCCCGCGCCTCGGCCTCGCGGCGTTCAACGGCGCCTTCGGCGCCCGGCTTCAGCAGCTCGGCGACCTCCTTCTAGATCGGGGATTCCTTGAAGCCGTGGACCTGCAGCCAGATTCCCTGCGGTAGGTAGCGGGGGCGAAAGACCTGCCCCGGCGGGCGCTCCTCGTAGTCGTGCTCGCCCTCGCGGTGGAGCTCGAAGGACACGATGGTGGCCCGTTGCTCCTGCACGGGCCCAAAGTTCTTCTTCAGCTCCTCCTGCGCTGCCGTGAATCGCACCTCCATGCCGACGAGGGCCAGCAAGACGCCGTGGATGTCCCCCGTCTTGTGCATGTTCGGGACGTTCAGGAGGCGCCGACCCGCGCCAGAATCGCCCTGAATCGCGCTGCACTCGTCAACGGCCTGCAAGGAAACGAGGGGCACGCCCAGGCGCCGCGCGTCGCGACGAGCGCGCGCGCGTTCATCCACCTCGCCAGCGTCTCCCAGTATATGTCCATGCCGTAGCCGAGCCGAAAGTTCTCGTGCTGGTGCCGAGGGTCCAAGAGGCCGCGATTGTCCGACGCCAACGTCTTCTCCCAGGCGGACCAGACCTCCGGTGGGAAGGGCTTGCCCTCGCGCATGCAGCCCAGGAGCGTGGTCAGAGGGTCCTCGGGTTCGAAGCGCTTCGTGCCCTTCAGCTCGAAGACGCAGGGGATATGAGAGAAGACCTTGATGGCAAGCTGAATCTCCACCGCCGGCGGCTCCGCGTACTTGCACGTGCGCCCGTCCCCCAGGCGCTCGTTCACGTCCGTCAGGAGGCCGATGCTGCCGGCGGCCCGGAGACAAGGGCTTCCCCCTTGCCCCCGATTCGGCCGAGGATGGGTTGCCACCCCCGGCCCGGACACAAGGGGCTACCCCTGCGCCTGGCCGCTGTCTCGTCGTCGTCGTCGTCGTCTGCACCTCAGTCGCCCTTTTTGGCACGCAGGCCCATGACAACAACAACTTTGCCGACGACAGGTTCAGACGAGGCTACCCCGCACTTCGCTCACAGACGGAACTCCCGCCTGATACTTCTACTTCCCCCGCTTTTTGGCCGCAGGAGCTGAGGAGCCCTTCCTCCGCATTCACGCCGCAAGAGCTGAGGAGCCCAAACGACGACGAAAGTCACAGGAATCCGATGACCCGCTCGGATTACCAACATAACGTGCGGGACCCGTCATGGCAGAGAGTCGCCGCGCAGGGCGCTGGAGGCTTAAGCGCTGGAGCCATAGGGAGGGGGCTCCCGCCTGAGACTTCCTCACAATTCACTCACAGACGAGGCTCCCGCTTGATTCTTCCCCCAAATTCAAGCCTGAGGAGACCCAAAAAATGACGACTGTCACACGTTTCGGACGACCCGCTCGGATTACAAACATGAAATGCGGGACCCATAGGAAAGGGGCTCCCGCCTGAAACTTCCTCACAATTCACTCACAGACGAGGCTCCCGCTTGATACTTCCCCCAAATTCAAGCCTGAGGACACCACAAATGACGACAGTTACACGTTTCGGATGACCCGCTCGGAATACCAACATGAAGTGCGGGACCCAGAGGACGGGGGCTCCCGCCTGAGACTTCCTCACAATTCACTCACACACGAGGCTCCCGCTTAACACTTCCTCCGAATTCAGGCCTGAGGAGCCCCAAAAAATTACGACAATTACACGTTTCGGATGACCCGCTCGGATTACCAACGTGAAGTGCGGGAGCCATGGGGAGGGGGCTCCCGCCTGAGACTTCCTCACAATTCACTCACATACGAGGCTCCCGCTTGATACTTCCCTCAAATTCAGGCGTGAGGAGCCCAAAAGTGACGACAGATACACGTTTCAGATGACCCGCTCGGACTACCAACATAAAGTGCGAGACCCATAGGGAAGGGGCTCCCGCCTGAGACTTCCTCACAATTCACTCACAGACGAAGCTCCCGCTTGAGACTTCATCCACATTCAAGCTAGGGGGTGAGTTATGACGAAGTGGTGAGTTAGTGAGTGAGTGAGTGAGTGAGTGGGTGAGTGAGTGAGTGAGTTAGTGAGTGATAGAGTGAGTGATGATGATGATTATACTGATGATGACGATGATGATGATGGTGATGAATGAGTAGGTGATCGAGTGATGATGATGATGACGATGATGAGGATGATGGCGATGATGATGATGATGATGATGATGATGATGATATGGTGATTGGTGATGCTGATTGATGATGATGCTGATGATGATGGTGATGATGATGATGAACGTGATAATGATGATGATTGATCGAATGATGATGTTGTTGATGATGAGGATGATAATGGTGTGAGTGTGGATGAATGTGATGAATATGATGATGGTGACGATGATGAGGATGATGATGAGTAGTGACGATGAGTGGTGATGATTATCATGATGATGGTGAGTGAAGGGGAGAGGGGTGGGAGGTGAGGTGAGGTTCCTGCGCGAGGTGTCCAGAGAAAACAAGAACCCCACTTTGGATGTGGGAAAAAACAGTCCCGAATAGTCAAACGAGCCCGGAAAAGCGTCGACAGACTACTCCGTTCGACTATTGTTCAACATCCCTCCTGTGGAGGGACGTGCCCGACTGAGACCTGGCCACCCCCACCGCTGCCCCCGAACCCAGCCGCTCGGCGCGGCCGCCTGTCGGAGCCAGCGGCCCAGCGGCTCTGCAGGGCCTGCGAGGCGGGGGGCCGCGGGCACGCGCGCGCCGGGCCTGCCGCCTCGGGGGCCCGTGGCGGCCGAGCGAGAGGAGGGCCTGCCCTGCCAGCCACTGAATGAAGGGGCCCAAGGACACGCAAATAAATACACACAAATAATAGGATTCCCCATATTTCCCCATATTTTCTGGGTTTCTGTCTTCCCCCCCACTTCCCATATTTTCCCATATTTTCCTGGGACTCGACGATAAATTGTGTCTGTGTGTTTTTTCCCCTCCTGAGCCACAGCCGCTGGGCCACCCGAAGGCGGCCTGTGCCGTCTGCGGCAGCAGTCGCTCCCGACCTCGTCGCATGGAAGCCGCGGCCGAGCTCGGAGCCCTCTCGCGCCGCGGGCTCGGGAGCGCGAGCGGCGAGGGCAAAAGCGGGTCGTGCGCGCGAGGGCTCGGAGGACCGCCCGTCGCACCAGCGGCCCTCCCTGGCGTGCGCCGCCCTCCCCGGGCCTCCTGGAGGGTCCTCGTCGCCGCGGCCGCATCCGCCCCAGAAAATGGGGCCAGGCTGGACCCGAATGAAGGTGTCGTCGGGAGCGCCCAAGAGGGGGGCATCCAAGAGGAGGGGGGCGCAAACCATGGCCGGCGGCACGTGCGCGGCCCCAGGTGGGGCCGGGGACGTACCGAGACCAGAAGAGGCACCAAGAGATCTGGGGAGATATCATGGACCCCGCCAAGATAACCCCCCCCAAGTCCTCACCAGGGCTGAACCTAAACGGTGTTCTTCGTTTTCGTTTTGTTTTCGTGTTCCCTCGTTCTGCCTTCAATCCGCCTTTGACGCACGCGCAACGAAATCGAAACGAACACGGCCCACGAAATCACCAAAAACGCCGCTTAGGTCCGGCCCTGGTCCTCACCCCCCCCGTTGGCCGCCCCCGACCGATGGGGGTGCCTGGGGGCCGACTTCGAGCGGACTTGGGCAAGGGCGGAGGGGCCGCCGTCGTCTGGGCCACCCCTCCCCGGGAGGGACAGAGCAACCTCGCGCGGTGGCTCGCGCCTGCCGCCAGCGCGGCAGGCTGCGTGGAAGAGGCAGCGCTCGCGCGTGCGGGCAGCTGGCGGGCGAATGCTGCTAGCGCGACCACTCCCCTTCTTCAGGGGAGCGAAGAACGACACAAGCATAAAAACTCAGAGGTCCGTGCGGGTTTCTCGGATCGGCGCTGGACCCCCCTCCCTGGCCCGCGGAACGCGCCAGGGGCGGCGCCGGAGGCGTCGCCAGGGGGGTCCAGCGCGGATCCGAGAAATCCGCGCCGACCTCCGAGTTCTTATCTTTATGTCATTGTTCGTTCTCCTATCTTGCACCGTCTAAATGACGAGGCCCTCACTCCGAGGGTGGGAAGCCGAAACGGCCTCGCATCTCCAGGGACCTGCCAGATGGGGTCGGAGTAGATTGTGTCCAAGGCTCGCGCCGCATCGCCGATGCATCACCGATGAATCGGCGATGCATCGGCGATGCGTCGGCGATGCGTCGGCGACGCATCGGCGACGTCGGCGACGCATCGGTGACGTCGGCATGGAGAAATTGCGGCTCCGCATCGAGCCGCATCGCCGACGCATCGGTGATGCGGCGCGAGACTCCGACCACACCTGCCAGGCCCCTCTATAGGAGCCCTGGAGTCCCTCGGGGCCAAGCTGAGGTCGGGCGTGTCCCCCTACAGGCGGATTTTTTAAAAAAGACAAAATAGTCCAACAAGCAATACCATATAATAGTCAAACATGGTACACAAACCTGCCCCAGACTATTTGCTGAACTATTTCTGGCTATCCCTCCTTTGGAGGGACATGCCCGACTTGAGGCCAGGCCGCATTGAGCACGCGACCCGTGGAGTCGAGCAAGACAGTTCGAGCGCCGACTCCGATGCTCTGCGGGCGCGCGCGCGGAGAGAAGCCGACCATCCGCTCCGCGTGCGGCCGCTGCGGGAGCGGAGGGACCGGCGAGCGAGGGAGAGGGAGAGGGAGAGATGGGACGCAGGAGGACATTCTTAGGAGATGGGACGAGGACATTCTTAGGAGAGGGAGAGAAAGAGAGAGAGAGAGAGGGATGGGAGATGGGAGAGTGAGAGAGAGAGAGGGAGGACATTCTGAAGAGAATGAGGAATGGCATAAACATACACACACGGAGGTCCACGCGGATTCCGCCCCGAAGCCCCCCTGGCGGCGCCTCCGGCGCCGCCCCTGGCGCGCGGAGCGCGCAAGGGAGGGGGGGGTCCAGCGCCGATCCGAGAAATCCGCGAGGACCTCCGCGCTTTTCTGTTTAGGCCATTCTTCGTTTTTCCCGAATTCTGGTGCTAGAGGAAGCGCACGTCCGAGCAGAGCAGATGGTGCAAAATCATGGAGCAGATCGGTTGTTCTTTTTCTCTTGAGCGGCATGGCCAGAGGGCGCCCGCCACGGAGCTTGTGCTGTGAGCTTTCTCCGGGCGTGCGCGTCGCACCTGCGCGGGGCCGCCGCACACGTAGCAGGAAACTGTTTTGGGCGTGGTGCCGACGAGAGGCGCCAGGCTACCAATCTGCGCATAGCTGGACCAAATCGCGAAACCGGAACGGATCGGAAATGGATCGGACCGCCGGCGACTCGTCCCGAATCGAATCGAAGTCGGATCGCCGCGCCCGCAGTGGCTGGCCCCAGCCGACGCCAGCGAATCGAACCGAGTCGAAGCGTAAGCGGCCATGGCGGCGGTGCCGCGCCATCGCCGCTCCACATCCCCATCTCGGGGGCGCCACTGGGGGGGGCATGTGCTGGTGGCATGTATTCGGCCCAAGGGTGGCCAATGTACGCAACAGGGTCAGAAGAGGGGGCCATGATGTGAGGGGGATATCATGGCCCCCCAGCCATGATATCCAACCCCCGTGCATCACCCCCCCCCCCTGGCCGCCCCCGAATGACTTGAGCAGATCGATCCGCATGTGGGACCGAACACCGAGTGAGAACGCCACGAGTGAGAAAACTACGACGACCGGAGCGCAGGTGCGCATCCTCGTGCAGAGCGGACGCGACGCAAGAGACCATCGCGTAAGCTGCCCGACCCAGAGAACTCGGCGAAGGAGATCCCACCAGGGGGAAACTCAAGGAAACCTGACTGCAGCAGCTCCTTGGACGCTCTCGGGAGAAGCCACCACACAGCGAGCGCAGCGAAGAACCCCAGGTGATGGGCAAAGGTTCCACCACCACTACCATATGTAGGACGGGGGAGAAGGGAGGATGAGGAGATCCTCCTCCTCCTCCTCCTGCTCCTGCTCCGCCTCCTCCTCCTGCTCCTGCTCCTGCTCCTGCTCCTGCTCCTGCTCCTGCTCCTCCTCCTCCTCCTCCTCCTCCTCCTCCTCCCTCTCCTACCTATGGTAGTGGTGGTGGATAATGGGCCCATCACCGCGGCACCCTGACGAAAAGCAGATGGCTTCTTGATTGCACGCCCCCCTCTGCACCGTGCGCACCGCCCCCCCCCTCGCGTCGCGGCCACGTTGGGCGGCGCGCAGAGGGGGGGGCAGGGGGGGGGAAGGCTTCTTAGAAGGAGGCTGCTGCCTACAAGGCGCCGTCCTTACATCTACAGGCAAGGCCCGCGCCTTCTAAGGAGCAGGGCTGCTTCCAAACCTTCCCCCCTCCCCCTACCCTCCTCTGCGCGCCAGCAACACGTGCTGGGGCACTGAGCATCGTTTGACCGATCCCCATCCCCTCCGGCATGGCATTGGACCCACTGACCATCTTACCCCCCTCGGCAGGGATAGATGCTGCTCCCTTCGGGTCTCGCGGTGTCCATCCTGGTGGAACAGGAAGCGAGGAGCATGACCGAGACTGAACGTGCAAACGCAGGTGTCGATCTTGGTCATCGTGTATCTTGGTCACTGGTCACCGTGAATAGTAAAACGAAGAATCACGTAAACATAAAAACTCATAGGTCCGCGGGGATTTCTCGGATCGACGCTGGACCCCCCTCCCTGGCGCGCTCCGCCCGCCAGTGGGGTCCAGCACGGATCCGAGAAATCCGCGCGGACCTCCGAGTTGCTATGTTTATGTCATTACTCGTTCCCCTAAATCAATCCGTGAATCATCCTCGCGAATCGGCGACGGCCGGCATGAACCATCACCAAGCTCGGCATTGACGATATCCCGCGAGACATCTTGGTCATGGTCGTATCGTGCTTCTTCCCTCGATCTATATATATATATATATGTATACCCTTTCTCGGGCCCGAAAGGGGCTAAAGGGAAACGGCATGACCATAACTTCCAGAAGGTCCGCGCGGAATTATTGGACCTGCGCGGACCCCCTCTCCCCGGCGCCTAAAAGTTTATGCACATGCAAGTCTTTATTCTTGGATAAAGGGGCTGCGATACCATGGCCCATGGCGGATGGGGATCTGACCATCGTTCAACCAATCCTCAAATGTCGAATGCTGTTCGCCTCCACTGCAGGTGCTTCACCGTCTATTGGATGATGTTGGTTGCGACGACAATCCAAACACAATTATGACGTTGCGACGTCTTCTTATTTTTCGTCTTCTTGTCTCGCCCTGTGTTCTGAGCATCGTTTAACCGATCCCTAATGGCGTGGCCTTGGGTCTCACGGGCCGATGTACCCCCTGGAGGGGGACGTGTGCTTTCCCTCGGGTTTCGCAAGGTATATCCCCAACTGGGTTGGTGGGATGGTGGGGCTGAGATGGCACGGTCCCAAGGGGGGAAGATCGGTCGTGGGGAAACCAAAAGGTACCGATACCGCTACTCCTGACCAGAACTTCGAGGCGAATCCAGCCGTGGTGATGAAGGCATCCCTGGGGGCCCAAAAAGGGGAACACGAGGGAATGGTAGAGGTAGGGGTGCTTTTCCCTCCTCCTGTGGGATGCCACGGGCTGGTCGGGGTGAGGATCGGTGAAACGATATGGAAGATCGATTAAGCGACGCTGGGGCACGCCCGCCTGCGTGCACGTCAGCCGCTCCGCCTCGTCCAGCACCAGCAGCCTCCGCACCACGTCCTGCCGGCGGCGGCGCACCCCAGCCGCCAGGCCGCCCCCGTCTCGGGGGCGGGCCAGGCAGCGGGCACGGCGTGTGTGTGTGTGTGTGTGTGTGTGTGTGTGCATTGCGGCTTAATTCGCATCTGTACGCCCTACACATGCCCTATCCGCCAGCGCAGTCACTCTGCCTAGCCGCCGACGCAAAAAGTGTGTGTGTGTGTGATTGTCTGTGTGTGTGCGCCGTGCCTCTCCTCCTGCTCCTGCTCCCTCCTGTTCCTGGTCCTGCTCCTCCTCTTACTCCTACTGCTACTCATTCTCCTCCTCCTCCTCCTCCTCCATTAAAAAATCCTGCCTGTCGCACACCGAGGCCAGTTGCCAATCGTCGTCGTTTTCGACGTCGTTGTTGTCGTCATCATCGTCATCAACAACAACTATTTCAAGACTGGTCGCTCCTGTCTGCCCGCGTGCCAGTCAACGCGTGCATCCCAACCCTCGGTACACACCCTCTTCGTCTTCGATCGTGACCCCTTCGGGGTATATCTTCCTTACCTGCCACGTGCATGTAGCGCAGCCCCTAAAACAGTCTAAAACAGGGGAAGGGAGGACGGATGGAAGGGGGAGTGAGAAGGATGGGGCACGAGAGAGATTAGCAGGAGGAGTGCGACACAGGAGAAAACACGTGGCAGAACCAGACGGGCAGCTCGGGCGGGTAGACCCAGACGGGCGGGTCGGGAAGGTGGGTCCAGGCGGCCAGGTCAAGCAGGCGGGTTGCTGATGCGTGTGTCCTGCATGCATCGCGAAGAAGTCTCGAGCGACAGCGCGATTCCCAAGTGTGAAACGAGAAAGGCCACAGCGAGAGCGTGATTCGCGATCGTCGAAGGCGAGGCGTCTGAATGATTTGCGAAAAAACCCACACGAGAGCGCGATTACGGCATACATTGTGATGAGGTCCCGCGCAAGAGCGCGATTTCTCAAGTAGATGTTAGGGAATATCAAGCGGGAGCCGTGGTTGTTGTTCTTGTAAGCCGGGGCCAACAACGCAAACTGGTGACAACTGTCTTTCCCTGACGCCCCCAAGGAATATCACCACCGGAGGGGGGGGAGTCAACAATGGTAATGCTTTAGGAATGGACATCAGCACTAACACTAACACTAACAACAGCAATAAAACCAACAACAACAGCAGCAGCAACAACAACAGCACCACCAACACCACCACCACCTCCACCACCACCTCCACCACCAACAACAACAACAATCATGTTGAGACTGTTCGCTCGTATCGATTCCCGAACCCTCGGTACCCGCCCTCGTCGTCTTCGATCGTACCTTCTTGGGGGCATATCTTCGTTAACCTGCCACGTGCATTCAATGCAGCCCCTAAAACAAGGGAAGAGAGGACGGGTGGAAGGGGGAGGGAGAAGAATGGAGCACGAGCAGGAGGGGGGCAAGGAGCAGAAAACAAGTGGTAGAACCAGACGGGCAAATCGGGTGGGCAGACCCATAGCGGGCAGGTCGAAAAGGCGGGCCCAGGCGACGATGTCGAGCAGGCGGGTTGCTGATGCGTGGGTCATACACGAATCGCGAGGACGTCTCGAGCGATATCGCGGATCCTAAGTAAATCGTAAGAAAAGCCAACGCGAGAGCGTGATTCCTGAGCGCCGAGGGCGCACCGTATGAACAAATTTCGCGGAGGTCCCACGCGAGAGCGCGATGCGTACATGAATTGTGAGGAAGTCCCGCGCGAGAGCGCGATTTGGGAATACATTGTGAGGAAGTATCAGGCGGGAGCTGCTGTTGTTGCAAACCAGGGGCCAGGAACACAGGTTGAGCCCCACGACTTTCCCTTATGAAAAACAAGGCGCGAGCCCCGGGGGAATCACTTCAATTGAAAAACACAGTGGTCACCGGAGGGGGGATCAACAATACTTATGCTTGAGTTCAGCAACAACGACATCAGCAACACCAACAGCAACAACAACAACAACAGCAGCAACGTAACTACCATTCCCTTCCACCTTCTTCCTTGCTCCTCCCTCCCCGACCCGCCTCCTCCCCTCGCCATCCCGCTTTACTCCTCCTTCGTCGCCTCCCTCCGACGTGGCGCTGTGGAGGAAAAGCTTCCCGGCGGGGCCCGACGATGCTCGCCCTGTCCCCCCCTTCCGCTTCTGACCTCCTCGTTCCCCCTGCCCTCTTTCCACACCCCTGGCCTCCGGGGAACGTCCTGGAGTCTTTGGGTCTGCCTGTCGTTGGTACATACACGCCACAGAAGCGCTTCTGGTGAGAGAAGGCGCCAGATGCTCCTTAGCATTCCCCTGGGAAAACGATGCTTGAAGACAAATCGTTTCCTCTGGCCTTCCGTGCCCACCCGCTTCGCCTTACCCTGCCCACATACACCCCTCCTTGAGCGGCGACGATAGGGGGGACTCGCATCGGGGGGAACCATCGACCTGCAATCGGCGATACGTCGCCGATCGGTCGGCGATTGGCCCCCGATAGCGGATCCGCACCTTCCATAGGCAGGCAAGCGCTCACGGGCCCTGATCGGCGATCAGTGGGCCACCGGGGATCGATGCGTCTCTCCTTTGCCGGTCCCCCCCCATTATCATTAAGTCGGGCCTGTCCCCCTCCTGGGGGATGTTGGGCGAAAAATGAATTACCCCAGTGCGACACTACCTAGAAGTTGGAGCCCCTAAGGAAGCAGCATTGGTTGCTATGCTATGCTATGCTCTGCTATGCTATGCCATGCTATGCTGCGCTATGCTATGCTATGCTCTGCTATGCTGCGCTATGATATGATATGCTATGAAATGCTATGCTGCGCTATGCGATGCTATGCTATGCTATGTTATGCTGTGCTTGGCTGTGTTAAGCTATGCTATGCTATGCGAATGCACCGCTGCGCTATGCTAAGCTAAACGAACCCTCTAGGCAGAGCCTAGGTAGGGGATTACACCCATGCCAATTACCCGAACCAAAACTAAACTGGCAACGCGGTTGGCACACACGAGCGCCACAAAATACACCCACAGATCCGGGGCAGGAGGACCAGGAGCTGGATGACGGTGAGGGCGACGAGGAAGAGCAGGTGTCAGCGGCGGCAGTGGCGGCAGCGGCGGCGTCGCCCACGGATCGGTTTTTTTGTTTGCTCTAGGCGGGGGGGACGACGACGACGACGACGACGACGACGACCGACGACGACGACCGACGACGACGACGACGGATGCTTGCTGCACAGCCCACCTCGAAGGCACTGCTTGCGGGGGCTCCGGTCCATCAATCGAGGCTAGCTCGGCATCTGTCGCACATTGCTTTTGCTTTGCCTTTCCTTTGCTTTGCTTTTGTTTTTGTTTTTGTTTTACGTTGCGTTGCTTGTGCTTTGCTTTGCTGTCGCTGTTGTTGCTTTGCTTTGCCTTTGCTGTGCTGCTATGCTATGCTATGCTCTGCTCTTCTATGCTATGCTATGCTGCGGTGTGCTATGCTGTGGTGTGCTGCGCTATGCTATGACATGCTATGCTATGCTGCGCTATGCCATGCTATGCTGGGCTATGCTATGATCTGCTATGCTGCGCCATGCTATGCTACGCTATGCTATGATATGATATGTTGTGCTCTGCTATGCTAAAGCTCAGCGAAGCTAAGATGAAGGTCAGCTAAGCTAAGATAAACCTGAGCTAAGATGAAGTTAAGCTAAGCTAGCATGACCTAAACTAAGCTAAAATGATATAAGCAACACTAAGCTAAGGGGACGGAACAGGGGGAACCGCGGGGCAGATACTGGGGGAGCCGCCGGGGCGGTTCCCACCGCCCGGCCCTTTAAGCCAAGAGAGTAAGTAGAAACAAAACATCAAACATTCAACAACATTCCACGCTAGAAAAAGTTATCAAAAAAATCCCCGGAATATTTTTTGACTACTGTAGAAGGACGGGCTCGACTTAACACTACCATTGCCCCTGGCCCTTCCCTCCCTCACTGGGGGGGGGGGGGGGGCGGGCGCGGGGCCCCTCCCTCGCGGCGGGGGGGGGGGCGCGGGCTCCCCGCCCGCCCCCCGGCAACCCCCAGGGAGCGGCCATGCGCGCTCCTGCCCTAAGCCCTTTCGTTGGCCGCGGCCCGCGGGCCCGACGCGGGGCGGTGGCGCCCTCCGCCGCGCGGAGGTCGCGCCGTCGACCCCAGCGGGCCCCACGGAAGTTTTTCACTGCGAGCGATGAGGAAGCAGCCACGCATCGTCAAAGAATCGAGCAGCACAGGGGCAAGGGGTACAGCGAAACTGTCGTCAGCGAAGCGCAGGAAAAAAAACCACGATGGTGGCGAATGCTACCAGGCGATGCTCAGCGGCAGCGCGGCAGGGGCAAGTGCGAACGAAGAAAGAGGAAGAAGGCGAAAGAGGAGCGGGCCCCACGAAACAGGAGGTCCAACGAAAAAGGACAGCCTTTTCTTTGCCTGTTTCTCTGGGCCCGAGGCCCGCGACGTCCGCCGTTGCGGGGGGGGGGGGCCGGGAGCGGGTAACGGCAACGATTGGGGTGGGGGCGGGGAGGGCACGCGTGCACCGCAGCGCCTGTGCACGGCACCCGTGCACACCGCAGCGCTTGCGTACACCACAGCAGCCGTGTGCAACACAGCGTCGGTGCACAGCGCAGTGCTTGCGTGCACCGCAGCGCGTGTGTACACCGCAGCACCCATGTACACCACAGCAGATATGTGCAACAGGGCGCCGGTGCACACCACAGTGCTTGTGTGCACCACAGCGCCTGTGTACACCGCTGAATCCGCGTACACCAAGGCAGCCGCGTACTCCACAGCGCTTGTGTACACCACAGCAGTCGTGTGCAACCGAGCGTCTGTGTGCACCACAGTGCATGCGTGCTCCACAACTCCTGTGTACGCCGCCGATGTGTGCACAGCGACGGCCTCGCGCACGGGGGGGGGCGCGCCACAGCCCGCTGTACAATCATTACCGTTGCGAGGGGAAGAGGTCGGACCCCGTGACCAGCGTTACGCGGAAGGCGATGATAAATCATCCTGGCGAAGTATCCAACCACATGCAGCTGTGAGTACCGCGTTCCGCCCTCGGTGGAACCCGCTATGGGGCAGTGATCCTCGTGAGGGGTGTGCTGACATGGGCGCGGGGACGCATGCAAACCCTGCCGCTGGGGCCTTCGGTGGAGCTCCCCATGGAGCCACGATCCTCGTGAGAGGTGTGCCGAAATGGACCGGGGGACGCATGCGAACCCTGCCGCGAGGGCCTTCGGTAGACTCCCTATCGGGCCTTCGGTAGGGCTCCCTATGGGGCCGCGATCCTCGTCAGTGGCGTGCAGACATCAGCGAGGGGACGCATGCAAACCCTGCCGCTGGGGCCTTCGGTGGAGCTCCCCATGGGGCCGCGACCTTGTGATGAGTGTGCCGAAATGGGCGGGGGGACGCATGCAAACACTGCCGCTGGGGCCTCCGGTGGAGCTCTTCATGGGGCCGCGATCCTCGTGAGCGGTGTGCAGGAATCAGCGGGGGGACGCATGCAAAACCTGCCGATGGTGCCTTCGGTGGAGGTCCCTATGGG